GGCGGTGCTGAAGAAGCCGGAAACCGGAATTCGGAAACCGGAACTTGGCTTCACAATGAGGCTTGGAGCGCAGCCGCTCCATCATCTGTGCTCGCCGCTAGAGAATTTCTCCTCGCATTGGGGCGAGCAGCTTTTTCAAGCCCTGGTTTATAGGTCACATTAAAAAAGGTGGAAAAAGTTCTGAAATGATGTTCTGATGATTGCGGCGTCAGACCCCTGACCTTCTCACCAAACTCGTGACCGAAGGACTAGCCAATCTAACACGGCGATGCACCTGCTTAACAATGCCACGCCCAGCTGCACCCTGCACACCGATTTTCCAGCTAATTGGACCACAATCAACGTACCTGCAGCCTGGGAGCGTTTGTTACTGGGTCAGGTTAATTACGCAATTAACCCTTCACACTGTCACTACCTCCTTTTTGTACAGAGAAAGAGGAAACTCAGCAATACACTAGAATGATTGGTTAATCGTCAGTATACCGCTATCTCCGCAGACAGGTTATACAGAGGGTTAAACACTCATAGTAGCGCTCTTCAGTGGCAGGGATTCGTAAGTTACATTAAAGAGCTATAGAAACAGTTCAACACTTTCAGAAAGTTAGATTTATTACTAAAAGGTCAAAAGGGTGCAGTGGAAATATTTACAGAAAAAAGAGGGGATATATATATATATATATATATATATCGATAGTTATATATAGATAGATATACAGAGCACAGCAAACAGATAACAGAAGTTTAGGTGAATAAGTACTTGCCAAATAGATGCCTGGGGTTTGGCAGTTTCAAGTCTGATGAGCTCAAAAAAGATTTCTGGTCTCCACTCAGTTTCAATGTTACAGCGAGACTCTGCTTTCTCTCTCACTGCTAGATGTTAAAACGTAGGAGAAACTCACTTCTCTCACCACACACAAAGCATAACAGCCTATTATACAAAAATCAATTGGTGTCTTCTTACAACAGACAAGCTAATTACCTTATTTGAGAAGATGATTGTATAGATAGCAACGTACACTGATCGCATTCCTGAGGGAGGGGGAAATGAGGGGATAGCATGAAGAATTCTTAACAAAATGAGGATCGTGTCTGGCTCTGGTGTGCATGATTGCGAACCCCCCCCCCCCCCCCCCCCTCAGGTGGTTGCATAGGAGTTTAAGAGAAATACCAAAATGCAGAAGTTTGGAGCAAAATGGAGAACCGCACCCCTCCCTGTGTGCATGATTGTTACATATGTATGTATGTATATATATATATATATATATATATATATATATATATATATATATATAAAATTTATTTTTTCTCACAACTGACTTGGCTCCAGAGTTAAACATGCAGTAAGTGGTACATGGCTGGTTCTTGCAACCGGCTACAGCACTGCCTGTTTGCATAACCATGAATGTATGTGAGCTCAATGACGTATTGGCGTTAATGCTGAAAACACACACACACTTTTAGTACCTATCCAGTATAGATAAAGAGAATGTATGAACTATGTATAGATAAGATATGTGCTGTGTTGCCTGGATATATGGGGAGCAATAAAGAATTATGTGAACATTTCAACCAATAATCCATTTCTTTTGAAATCTGTGCCTTGAAGAATAATTACAATTTCACTTAGAGGAATTCCCAGTATGGTATCTTTTTGCATGGTTACATTTGGTCTAGCATGGATCAATGTAATTATGTATATAGAATACCTGTTGGATCCCTCTAGAAGCTGCAAATCAGTGTAGTAGTCATGCTATTCCAGTGATCTCCACTGGCTTCCGAGTGGCTGCCCTGCTGCATTGTGAACACAGGACGTCATCTGTTCCGCAAGGCATCCTTCAGAGAAAAGTTTGCATTCTGTCACTGAATACAAAACGTTCTCTGGTTGAGAGTGGAGAGTCAGGGTGATGACATCACGCTCTCTACCTCGTCCAATTAGAGAATACTATGCATTCATTGAGAAAATGCAAAGCATTCTCTGAATGTTGCCGACCTTCTGTGTTCACAGTGCAGCAAGGAAGCCACTTGACGTGATCTACTACAGTGATTTCCAGCTTCTAGAGGGATCCCACAAGTATGGTATAAGCCTAGTTGCATTGGTCCAAGTTGGACCAATGTAACTATGTCAAAATATCCGTTCCCGGAACTTTTTTTTTTTTTTTTTTTCCTTTTTTAAGTGTTACCTAATATTTATCAATATAAATAAATAAAGTGCAGTGCAGCGCTAAAAATAAACAGAAAATTCGATCTAGAAAATTCTGGTCTAGAAAATTCGATCTAAAAAGTTCGTTCTGAAAATATCAAAAGTTCATAGAATCAGCGATAAAGTAGATATGACACAGCTTATGAGAAATCCGGAACAAATGGCAGAAGTGCGCACTCACCGACCGCGCATAGGAAATGCGCATATGTTTAATCAATTCTGCAGAGTATCGATCTCCCTCAGGAAGGGGTGTTATCATGCGATGGTCAGCTGGGCTCACAGAACCTCCCAAGGATCGGGATAGATCGGCCGGATACAGACTCCAGGTGAAGGCTTCCCTCCTCTGGATGAAGTGGAAAACGGTGTCTGCTGACCCCTCAATAAGGGGCAAAGAGTGGGAGAGTACCCATAGTGTAGTATTTCAAAAGATAATTTTATTGGTAATAAACAGTGCAGGGTATATCAGTAGTGATGCTAGGCAGATGGCCAGACATATAAAGTGAATCACATAAAATTAGATTAAAAAGCAAAAACCACTGACCCTGAATGAAGAAGCCGCCAGACCTCCTCGTGGTCTAGGCGGCAATAAGGCGTCACAGGCTGTCAGTTCCTCCTGAGGCCTTTCGTGCTAAGGCACATCATCAGAGGGGATACTGACAGCTCTGTGACAGACGCCGAATCTTCAAATAGCAAAAAACGGGAGTCGCGCATGCGCACTGACTCGCCGCCATTTTCGGAGAGACCGTGCAACTGCGCATGCGCGCGCGGGCTAAGCGCCATTTTGCCGTGGATATCTGGAACTGTCAGCTGTAATGCATTACATACCGCTGACAGAGCACATAGAACAGTGCATTTGAGCCAGAACTGATGGCTCACGATCCCAGGGGAGATAATCAATATGGGAATCCTGGTTTATATCCAGTCAGGACAGCTACAAACCACTTCCTTAAATAATGTAGCACCAAGCTTGGTGACAAAAAAGGGGAATAAACTAATATACCCACGGTGTAAAGGGTGCTCCAGGTCCTCAAATCTTATTAATTAAAATCTTATAAAAAATAAACGTCACAGAAAGTACAATGATACTAACAGTGAAATTAAAATGATACTTTTAAAAGAGCAAAGGTACAAAGCTATAATGTGCAATAATCATCCTAATCAAAAACAATGCCAATAAACCGGCATTTAGAGACTAAAAAGATAGCTGGGACATAATAGTACCCAGCGATCCAAGTATAGAATGGAACGCTAAATGCTACTACTTAGTGGTATATTCCCGGGGATATGATGGTGAGTTGCAAGTCCCCTTGATAAGTGATTAATCACCATTTGGTGAGATATCGGAGAAAACATTAGTTTGTCCATGGCACGAAGGTGCTCAAGATTCAACAATCAGTGATATGCATAAAAATACGCATTTAAATGAATAAAAAAATGAATAAAAAAGGAAGGAAATATATTCTAATGTAAAAACACCCTTATTAATACGCTAAAATCAGCTCATGAATTAATGAATAGGATAGCATAAAATAGTGAATAGAATAGCATAGAATGAAATAGGATAGCCACAAAAATGTAAACAAAGGTCAATATTTGTCAATCGTGAGTAAAAAGTCACAAAGTGCGTCTAGAGAAAAATGGGTATACCGGATGTTAATTGTTTGCTATAAAGCAGTTAATATCAATCTCAATATTATGTCCCCTAGGGTATAGGGTGTCTAATTCGTAGACCCATTTAGTTTCGGATTGCGATACGGCTCTGGTTTTATTCACGCCCCTCCAGTGTGGCGATATCGCATCAATGCCCACAAACTTAAGAGAGGAGGGGTCATTGTTGTGGAACATTCTATAGTGATTTGAAAGTGAATGTTCCCTGTAGCCCTTTTTAATGTTGGCCACATGCTCTCTTAAGCGATCACGGAGTCGCCTAGTCGTGCGCCCCACGTACTGTTTGAGGCATGGACATTGGAGGAGATACACTACATGTTTACTATTACATGAAATGAACCGATTAATTGTATATGGTTTCCCAGTTGTAAATGATTCAAATGTGTTAATTCTCCGTTTCCTAATGCCATTAAATTTACAAATGACACACTTATTACACGGAAAAAACCCTTTTAACTCATATTTATCAACCTAATATTTATCCCCTAATCATTTTCAAAAATTAATTACCAATCCTCAGATGCAGATTTTAGCTTGTATATGCTGCCATGGTTTACCGCAATTCCAGCCTTCATGGTGCTGGCAAACTGCCAGACCTACTAGACTAAATGTGGTGCTCTCTTTTATAGAGTTTAAATGGACTACCAGGGCACAAAGTGATGGGGAGTTCATTCCCCTCTGTAAAAGAGAACTTTGCATATTCTATAGTGAATCCCAATCTCTGGCATTATTCAGAATCTGGAAGCATTAGGGCTGGCTCAGAAGGTGATTGCTCAATGGTTTTAAAAATAATCTATGCAGTAAGTAACTCATGTCCTCAACTGGTTGAAGTACTCATTATCAAACTTAGAAACTGTAAATTACAAGCGATGATCAAATTTGAGAGTATTGCTTTTGCTTTTTTTTGGCCATAAATCTAATTTTTTGTGATATTATTTATGTGATCCTCCTGAATATTTACAATCCATGCTACCTAATTGAGTTGGATGGATTGTTGACAAAATCCTAAATTAGAGGGCTGTATATTTAATGGAAATTGTAAATGCAGTTTAAAGAGAGAGATACAGTATGTATTTTTTGTGTTTTGTAACGCATTTACTTCTTTTTCCCTTTCTGTCATAATAACCAAAAGGTTGGGATAAGCATTCATATGGATATCATGGAGATGACGGACATTCATTCTGTTCCTCTGGAACTGGTCAGCCATACGGCCCAACATTCACAACAGGCGATGTCATTGGATGCTGTGTGAACCTAATAGACAATACATGTTTCTACACTAAAAATGGACACAGCCTAGGTAATGTACAAAATCATATTCTCTGCTTATTGTAAATATACTTTTAATTTGTGAATTAAAAAAAGGACTGAGCTCTGGACCCTTTTCCACAAAAAGGCAGGCATAGAGCAAAGGACTCACCAGCACTGCCTATCGTCTCCTTGTAGATGTCCCCATTACTCACTTGCCATGACTGCATTATGTCTGTGTTTGGCAGTGGCCTATTTGGTAGAGGCAGGACTTTATTTCTTCATGTCAAAGTCTCCAACAAAGAGAGGGGTGAGCGGCACATTAATGATTGCCAATCTTGCTCCAAATCTCCTGAGCAGTCAGAAGCACCAGTGCCTTAATTTCACACTGCAGATAAACCAGATCCATTAAACTTGAAGTTAACCTGTGCTTTGCTCATGTAGGGCAAAGTAGCGGGTTTTCTTAAAGCAGTACTCAACTACCCATAACCCCCCAACTACCACCATATGTATCCTCTTGCTCGTAGTGCTGGGTTTTGTTCACAACACATACCCGCACAGTGAATCCTGCGTTATCCCACTGATATGCAGTTTGGATGCCATACGTTGGGTCCCGTAGCACCATCTTGCTCCTCTTCAGCTGGCTGCCTCTTCTGGGTGTAGGCAGTCAGCTCTGATGATGCACCAAGCACGCCATCCAGCCTACCCTCCAGCCATATAAGTATTTCAGAAGGTTGCAGGATTAGCAACAGATCATTCTGGCCTAGGCAGATAGAAGTGCCAAAAAATGGAGGAAAAAAAAATGTCCCATAGTTTTGCTGAGGAATGGGTGGGGTGGGTTCTTAAAACTAAAGGAACTCCCTTTTGGGCTTTAATGCGTAACTAAAGGGTCTATACTTACCGTTGTCTTTAATGATCCAACATCCGTGAGGGTTCCCTTGCTGGTACCAATTTACATGGATTAGAAGACTGCAAGCAGGCAGGTGGAGGTACTCTATTGCAGAGGAGACATTGCATGTCTCTGCTGCAATAATAGCCTGCCTCCTCAAAAGTTGCTGTAGAATGCCTTCAGTTGAGCTTTAAATGCTGCTCTTCTCAGCTGCACTTTCTCACCTCGACCACTGCGAGTAAAGGGAACTATCCAATACGTGTGGGTAGGGAGAGCATGTGACTCTCCTTCCTTCCATCTAACAGCACTGATGCTTCATGATTAGCCACTCAGGCACCCAGGGTTGTCAAATGAGGTTGAGGACAGTTTTCAGCCCTGTGTAAGCGCTACATTGGAGCATACACAGGGCGGCTTCTCTTTGTATTGGTGATGAAAAGAACAGAAGTGACGGGTATTATTCGGAAGGTGTGCAGCATGCATGCAGGAAGCAGCAAAAAGTTGAATCTACCACCATTATCTATTCAGATTTAAATTTGAACTACCAATAATTTTGTATTTTAAGGTACAGCAGGCATTAGGTTCCCACTGCTTCTTTGAGATAGATCAATAGGAACAGTTGTGCTCAAAAGTTTGCATACCCTGGCAGAAATCATTTTGGTATTGATATTGGAAATATGACTGTTCATGACAAAAAACGGTCTTTTACATACCTTGGAATGTTTGGCCTTGAAACAGACACACCAAAGTGACACACATGGGTAAAATGGAAATTAAAGTTTAATTTCCTACATTTGTGGCTATTTAAAATTGCAATTCGTGTCTGTGTATAAATAGTTTTTTAGCTCTTATGTGGATGCACTGAGCAGGTTAGATACTGAGCCATGGGGAGCAGAAAAGAACTGTCAAGAGATCTGCGTAACAAGGTAATGGAACTTTATAAAAAAGGAAAAGAATATAAAAAGATATCCAAAGCCTTGAATCTGCCAGTCAGTACTGTTAAATCACTTCTTAAGAAGTGGAAAATTTGGGGATCTCTTAATATCAAGCCAAGGTCGGGTTGACCAAGAAATATTGCAGCCACAACTTCCAGAAGAATTGGGTTTTTACAAATTAAAACCCACAGGTAACTTCCAGAGAAATACAGGCTACTCTCGAAAAAGACGGCATGCTTGTTTCAATGAGCAAAATACGACAATACTTAAGCAACGATGAGCTGCATGATCGAGTCGAGAGAAAGATGCTTTTACTGCGCCAATGCCACAAAAAAGCCCAGTGACGCATGTCAAGGTGTTGTTGGGCATATTGTAACTGTGCTTTTTTGTGGCATTGGCTCAGGAAAGGTTTCTTTCTGGCAACTTGACCATGCAGCTAATTTTTGTTCAAGTATCGTCATATTGTGCTCCTTCAAAACAACCACACCACGTCTTTTTCCAGAGCAGTGTGTATTTCCCATGAGGTTACCTGTGGGTTTTTCTTTGTATCCCTAACAATTCTTCTGTTGGTTGTGGTTGCAATCTTTCTTGCTTTAACTTTTACTTGGCTTGGTATCAAGAAATCCTCGAAATTTCCACTTAATACGTGATTTAACAGTAGGAAATAAATAGTCAGTAGGTTTGCACTGAGCAGGGTAGATACTGAGCCATGGGGATCAGAAAAGAACTGCCAAAAGACCTGTGTAACAAGGTATTGGAGCTTTATAAAGATGGAAAAGGACATAAAAAGATATCCAAAGTCTTGAATATGCCAGTCAGTACTGTTAAATCATGTAGTAAGAAGTGGAAATTTTGAGGATCTCCTGATACCAAGCCAAGTAAAAGATAAAGCAAGAAAAATTGCAACCACAACCACCAGAAGAATTGTTGGGGATACAAAGAAAAACCCACACAGTCACATCACCTCTTTTTCCATAGCAGCGTGTATTTCTCATGAGGTTACCTGTGGGTTTTTCTTTGTATCCCCAACAATTCTTTTGGTGGTGGTGGTTGCGATTTTTCTTCACCTTTTACTTGGCTTGATATCAAGAGATCCTCGAAATTTCCACTTCTCAATACAAGATTTAACACTACTGACTGGCGTATTCAAGACTTTGGATACCTTTTTTATGCCCTTTTCCATCTTTATAAAGTTCCATTACCTTGTTACACAGGTCTTTTGACAGTTATTTTCTGATCACCATGGCTCAATATCTACCCTGCTCAGTGCATCCACGTAAGAGGTAACAAACTCATTGACTATTTATTTCCTACTGTATGAAATTGTATTGTAAATGTGCTGTCTGCCCTCCAGTTGTAAAGCGCTGAGCAAACTGTTTATTAATAATAATAATAATAATAATATTAACAAACAGATACTATTTGCAATTTAAAAAGTCACAGATGTAGGAAATTAACCTTGAATTGGCATTTTAACCCATGTGTGTCACCCTGTATATCTGTACCAAGGCCAAACATTCCAGTGTATGTAAACTTTTGATCATGGCCAATTAGGTTTATTAATGTTATCATTATGATTTTAAAAGGAGCCAAACAACTATGTGATAATAAATGGCTTCATATGATCACTATACGTAATTAAGTGCTTTGGCATGATCAGTCATATTTCCAATATCCATGCCAAAATTTCACAATTTCTGCCATAGTATGCAAACCTTTTGAGCACAGCTGTAGATGGATAATTTTTTATGCACACATACTGTACATAGCACATAGAGGATCATGTTGAAGGTTGCTGTCCTTGAAATGAGCAGCTATATTTGCATGTACAAATGACTTCTCAATGAAGCAGGTCTTTATTTGTTCTGCCAGCTCCGCAGTTGTGCATTCTTAAAATGTAACACTGTGTCTATTCATTAATATCCTTCTGCCCTGAGATGTGCACTGCTCATTGGCTCAAATAGTGGGAGTCTCAAAGAGGGTGGTTTTATTCAAGTCACTGAGGATGTGCTGTAAGACCTACTGCAGAGGATACAAACTATCTGGCTGGCAAAACAAATCCTATATATACATCTTGCTGATGATATATTAATTTTCGTACCAATACATATTCCTTCTCCAGATTATTATAAAAATGTCACTTACCAATGTAAATCTAAAAACTATTACTTTCTTGTTTAAACAGGTATCGCCTTTACAGACCTCCCGGTGAGTTACTTTGTAGATTTCAAGTTCGTATTTTTTTCTGTTGAGGTACAGTGCCTCAGATATCACACTGTCTGTGTTGCCTAAGAGCCCCCAATCAGGTTTACAGATAACCTGAAAAATGGCAATAGGAATCTGGGATATTTAGGCTGCAAGGCAATACAAACAAATCTTGTTAATGGCCATGATATGTAAAGTTGGCCACTTTGATTGATTGAATAATCCCTGATTCCTATTGCCATTTCCCAGGTTATGAATGTACAATTTTCTTTAGTTCTACCAAAAACTTTGTATTACAAGGGCCTGCCTGACTGAACAGGAATTGAATGATATGTTGTGGGAAACCCTCCTATTACAAAGATTTGTTAAATATGAGATTGAACAATCGGCTTGTAAGACAGATGGCCAGCTTTAGGCAAAGCGTTCGTGCAATGAGATCCGGGCTACAACAGTTGGGCCACAACCATTCCTAAAAAGAGATAATAGAATTGACTCTATAAGTAGTATTTCTAATCAGTTTCGGTTGGAAGGTATGTATTTCATATTTCTCGCTAGCTGTGACATTGTTTAGCTTTGCCTACTAAGTTATATAGATAACAGTGCTCTTGACAGTAAACCATATGACTTCAGCAGTTCATCTTCATGAGACCAATGTTGGAGAGTTTTTTTGACTGATTTGCAGCAGGTTTTATGTTACTGTTAGCCTTCTGAAATAGAGGTGCTTACTGTATATTGCTTTTATTTTGGGCTCTACATTTTTTTGTAAATTTTTATCATCCATTTGTATTGAAGATTGGTAAGTAAATTCTTTTTGGCAAGGTCTATTGGCAGTTCGGGGTTATTGCTGATTTCTTCACAAACAGTGCCTGGTAAAGATTTTTCTACACCGTTTTGAAAGGGGATATGTCACATGTCTAGAGGCAGTCGACTTGGCTCAGGTTTGAGACTTGGTCCTATGGTGTTTATTTCAGGAAATCCCTGTGAATTTCCTAGTATATACTGAAGGCATGACTTAAAATAGACATTGTAGACCAGGCTTTCAATTTAGTCAGGTCAACCATATCTCCACCCATAACTTTATCCAAACTGAGAGATGAATACCATTTCAGATTAGATCATTTTTCTCAGTGAGGAAAACGTTTATCATGTTCTGATTGATGATACATAAATATAAACCTTATCTATAGGTTTTATAACTAAACTCTAATTTTATTTGGTATGTATAAAACAACATTAAATTTGCCTGTACTTATAAGCTTGAAATTACCAATCACAGTAGCAAGCCAGTAGTAGTGTAAAGATAAATGTTAGGACGTGTAACTAAGTAAATATTTATAGGGCTTTGCTATTACGGGGTCAGGTTGTAGTTTTGGCTGAACTTTTCTTCCCTCCTTTTGGCTGTGTCATTCTATCGTAACTGCTACACGCTAACAACTGATGTTTTTTTTTTTTTTTTTTTAAGCCGAACCTCTATCCAACAGTTGGACTTCAAACACCGGGTGAAGTGGTTGATGCAAATTTTGGCCAGAGTCCTTTTGTGTTTGATATCGAAGACTATATTCGGGAGTGGAGAGCCAAAATTCAGGCACAGATTGAAAGGTTTCCAGTTGGTGGAGACTGGCAGTCTGTAATTCAAAAGTGAGTGCTTTTGTGTGACAAGCTAAGCCTGCAGGGGCTAGCTGCAAAATGATTGTCCTCTGCTAACTGGACTTATAAGCACCGTAAAAATAAATAATTGTTGCAATACCGTACAATGGGTCACCAAGGAAGAACAAAGTTAACTCATGATTACCACATCCATTGCAGTATACTTTTACTGCCTTATGGAAAAACAAATATGCTGAATAAAAGCAGATTTGTTGTCCATCAAGGCCAATTGTTATTTTCCCAGTGCAAATTAAACAATTCTTAAATTGTTTTATAATCTTCACTCTTTATATGGATTGCGCAGAGAAATTCTACAAAGATGCACTGCATTTTATCTATACCGATTTAAATACATGCTGTATATGGTATTATTAAAAACTATTCAAATGGCCAAAATCTCTGCACTTTCTTCTTTACTTATATGCCTAGGAATATTTATGGCTTTGTGCGCTTGGAAATATGCTAAAGCTGGCATGCATCCACACTTGGCTAGTGAGACATCATTAATTCAGTCCTGCAGTTAGACCAATGACTGCCAGTTTATTCTACTAATTTATAACTACATTCAGTGATGCCTTAAATGAGAATAGTTTTTATGAAATAACCACTAATAGCTGTGCATTGTACTTTTACCCTACAGTGCAGTAATCCATTATTCACATTTAGAAGCTACAGTGGTAGAAGTGTTCTCGGTTGTGATTTACAAGGCCACCTGGTATTCGGCAGATAGTTAGAGACAACAGAGCCCAACTGGTGTGCTTAATGCAAAGTGTACCATGATTCACTGACTTCTGACTGTGACAAAGGAACTAACTAAAACCGAGCTGATTTTTTCAATGTTCTCTGACTCTGTTTTTTTTTTTTTTTTTTTATTTATAAAAAAAAAAAACTGTACAGCCATGTGCACCCATGGCAGAGATGAGAACATCAACAGAGTCGTAGTCAGGGTCATGAATACATCAACATATAAGCTTTCTATTATTTAAAAAAAAAAAAGTGAGAGCTCGTGTAGACACCTGGCTCAGCTGAGCCTTACAGACTGAAGAGAGGAAACCTAGTGACGCATTAAAGTTCCCTAACGCCTATTCATTTTATTTTAGGATGGTTTCTTCATATCTTGTGCATCATGGTTATTGCTCTACAGCAGAAGCCTTTGCCAAGTCCACTGACCAGACTGTTCAGGAAGAGCTGGCCTCCATCAAGAATCGGCAAAGTAATGTATTTTTCACATTTGATTGTGTCCCTTGTGTCTCCACACTGTCTTTCTTTGAATATTGTATTAAGGTGCAGTTCAAACCTGTGGTCACCTGTAGCTAACATCATTGCTCATTCTCAAGATACTTAACATTATTTCATTGGTAATGGGTACATAGGGCTACCAACAGTCATTTCATAATTGTTTTTTTTTTTCTAGCTTGTCTCCATTGCGCTATATGCCAAAGGTTCCTAACCACTGTCTCTCTGATGTCCTTAATATTGTTTATGGTGGCTTTTCAGCAGTAGTGGTATTATTATTTACCCAACTGACAACCTTTCTGTTGCATTATGTACTACCCACAAAGATAAGCCATTTATATTCTCCCTACTCGGGGTGATTGGCAGAAAGAATGGCTCGTACATAGGTTGTCACTATGGAAGAATGTCCCCTTTGACTTAGACTGCTATAAAAAAAAGAACTTTGCTGTCAATGGTAACTTACCTGATAGAGGAATCAAGAACCCAAGTGATGTTGGCTTCAGAACTTTTCAGGCATTGTCAGTCAAGATATGCATCTGCTACTGCCTCTAACCACCTCTGAAAGAAACCCAAAACCATTAACAGTCATATAGAACCCACAGGCCATCAATAAAACATTTTCAATCTCTCTGGAGATAGAAATATATCAGTACAGACATGATATACAATGTGCATTGTCACTGGAGACCAATGAAGGTACAGGGGAGCTAAAGAAAGTTTCCTGTTGAGAGAAAGGAAAAAAGGTTTCCCAGAGTCGCTGATTCTAGGTCCGCATCGAGTTGTAGTGGAGGGGACTGGGGGTGTGCTGAAAGTAATAGAATAGGAGCCTAGGAGAGAAGGAGAGGGGAAGGGAAAAGACAAGGGATAGGAAAGGAGTAGGAGTTCTTTTAGATGACATTCTTCCATTGAATGCCTGGGAGCTTGCTGTCTTTTGAGGCAAGGTGCTAGATCTGGTTCAAAGAGATGAGTGCATAGTTCTGCAGGGTTAAGAGCATTTGAAATCTAGAGCTACCATAGAACAGTATCCAAGGAAGCCAGACTTTCCTAATCCTTGATTGACAATTATGTATTTGGGCTTTCAATTCCTCCATCCACAATAATATGTTCAGCTTATCCACACATTCTTTCATAGTTGGTGGAGATATTGCTATAAGGAAGAAGTGGAGGAGTTCCTTCTTAATATTAGCTAGGGACTTGAGAATTATGGACAGGAGACCTATCTTTGGAGTCTTAGGGCTATTCTTAGGCTTTTTTTTCATTTAGGTGTGAAAAACAGTGTCCCAAAAGTGAGTAGTTGTGGGAAATCCCACCAGATATGGGACATGCTTCCAGGGATAGATGGACATCTCAAGTAATGTCTGGGACAGTTGAAAAAATTCTATGCAGTAGGTGTGGGCAACAGTGCTATCTAGTTGAATACAAAATGCAAAAACACAGTTGAATCAGTTCAGAAAGAGGTAAGATGCTCTCAAGTTCTGAATCGTCTCAGAAGCATCTCATACTGATGTCACAACAAAAAAAACAAAAAACAGACCCTTACCTGATTCTCAACGTTACTAAGAGACAAAACTGCTCTACAGTATTACCTCTTTACTGCAACTGTATGCAAGCAATATGGCTTTATGTTAACGACTGAGCAGTTACCTTGTACGGATGTTGACGCTTAATATTGATTACAAAGAAAACAAACCTAGTGCTTGTTTCCTACTAATCTTTTTTGCCATGAATTATTTTTCTATGTCAAAGGGGGATAAAGCTTCAAGACTTATTAATTCCTATTTCATAGAGTAGTATTATACCAAGTGAGTAAGAATTTTTTTTTAATTTTCTCTCCAGGGATCCAGAAGTTGGTACTAGCAGGAAGAATGGGTGAAGCTATTGAAACCACACAACAATTATACCCCAACCTACTAGAAAGAAACCCTAATCTTTTCTTCACCTTAAAGTAAGTATCCAGTATTTATATTTATGATCTCTTAAATATGTCAACAGCACTTGCCTGCACTTCATGTACAATATGAAAAACGCCTTTTGCCAAAATTATAATATGTATTCATATATTATTTTATTTAACTTCATGTTAACTTTTTTTTTTTTTTCTTCTTTTTTTTTAATCACAGAGTAAGGCAATTCATAGAAATGGTGAACGGGACTGACAGTGAAGTGAGATGTCTGGGAGGTCGCAGCCCCAAATCACAAGACAGTTACTCAGGTAGACTCTTGTAGATGAGAAGCAGCTGCACATCAAACAATAATCTTGTACATTGTCATCATGTACAGTATGTTAGTTGTATGTGTTAATATATTAGAAGCTTGACATGCACAAGACTTAATGACAGATTCAATGGTATTATTCTTAATTTTTATTGCTCAACCTTTGCATGGGGCAACAGACCTGTTTTTTAATTGTTTTCTGTAGATTCCTAGCATGGCAAACACCTTATACCTAAACTTACTATCTGAAAGAAGGCAAAGCTAGATGTTTGCACATACCTTTTAGCATTAAAGCTGAACTCCTGGCAGATATAACAATCTACCATTTAGAACAGCAGTAAACAACATAAAATTGATTGAATTTATCTTTAAGGGTATCTAGTATAAGTAAATGAGTCTTCCAAGTTTTTATGACTGGAAGAAGGTGGAGGAGCAGTACTGGGAAATAATCAGCCTTTAATGCATTGAATTGTGCTGTCAGTCTAACTTTGGAGCTTTCTGACTGGTGGAGGGCACAGAATAGAGATCTTGTCAGTGTGCTGATATTCCTTTTACTGTTCGCTTAGCAGACGGGGGTAGGTTGATGACCAACCTGTGTTGCTGAACTGCAAAGAAAAAAATGAGGTGGTGGAACCTTGCTATTTTGTTCAGTCCAGCCGGAATAACCTAGTTGTCTAAATAAAATTACACATCTTTGGCATAGTTAGGACAGTTCACTCATGTATTTTTCAGATGAGTCTAGCTTGTTTGTCCGGATTTCAACTTTAGTACTGTTGCAATGTGTCTTAGGAGCCCTGTGAACCTTAGCTTAAGTATGCCATTTTGTGTCCACCTGGCATTCTACAATGCAGCTTGCGTTTCCTCCGGTACAGACACCCACATTTCATTATGCATTCGTTGGCGTTATCTAGGTTATTACTACATTATTGCTGTCCTAAAAAAAAAAAAAAAAAAAAAAAAAAAAACAGTAAGGGGGATGTCAAGCAGGCATTGGGGTTGATTTACTAAAATCTACAGCAGCCACACAGCTTCTAACTTCAGCTTGTTCAGTTACCCACTAACAGACCAGTGATGTACCTGTATGTCACTATATGTTCAATGGTTGTACTGGAGTGCTGCTTGCAACTGCAGGCATCACCCCGGTACCATTTTTTTTTTTTTTTTTGGAACCAACGGTCGGCTCTCTTGTGCAAGCAGTAAGAGTGGGTACTAGCTGAAACGGGAGGAGGGATTTGGGCTCTCATAGACCCCAGATCCCCTCCATATTTACGTGTCTAGTTCTGTCACAGGAGATGTTTACATTCCTTGTGACAGCAATCAAAGTGATTAGGAAAAAAAAAATATTTAAGTGGCAGTGTAAGATAAAAAAAAAAAAAAATTAAAGTGCCCCGCCTTTCCCTCCTGTGCTCGCACAAAAAGGAAAATGCATATGTTGGTCTTGCACGCATGCAAACAGTACCGTCCCACATGTGGTATTGCCCCAATCGTCATCGGCAGTAATTCAAGCCCTGGACCTCCTCTGTAAATCTAAAGTGGTAACCTGTAAAGCTTTTAAAGCGTTGCCTGTGAATAGTAAAATTTGTCGCCGTTGCACGGGTGTGCGCAATTTTAAAGCGTGACATATGTTTGGTATCTATTTACTTGACGTAACATCATCTTTTATATTTTTACAAAAATTTGATTATGTATTTTTTTTTTTTTTTTTTTGCAATAAAATTTTTTAAAAATTCTTTTTCCCAAAAATTGCGTTTGAAAAATCGCTGCGCAAATACTGCATGTCATGAAACAATGCAAAAATCTAGGGTCTCTGCTTGAAAACAAATATATTTTTTTGGGGGGGGGGTCTAAGCCCCCCAGAAGCTGCACCAGATTTTGCACTCTCCAGTTTTTGTAAATCAACCTCATTGTTTGCTATCACACTTTATCTGTAAAATGTAAAAGCAAATAAACCTACATTTTAATCTTGTTCACTATTTTTATGTTGTATATGTTGTAATTTATCATTTCGATAATGGGTACACTTTAACAATATGCGTGTAATCTTTGTGTATAACCAAATTCTTTTATTGAATTATGTATTTGATGGTTTTCTTACAGCAAATGTCTTTACTTTTCTCTTCTTAGGATCAGATAGCAACTGCAGTAATGGTGTTATATCCAACAAAGCTCACCAGTCCCACAGTCGTAGTAAACACCAGCCTTCCAGCCTTAATGTAACAGAACTTAACAGTATAAACATGACGATGTCACAGCAAATCAACAGCTATCCTAGGTAAGGAGCCACCACTGTGAATGAATAGTCTGCTTGATAACACAGATTTTCTGACAACTGTCAGATTGAGTTTGTGCTGCTCCTGTAAAGAAGCCTGTTGTGTGACTCACTGCACACTGCCGCATTCCTGCTGACTTACCAGAATATTAGCATGCGAGGCATACATTTCATTCATGCTTCTGTACAGGCCCAGTAATGCATTTTATGGAAAAGGCATGTTGTGGAGCACTTTGGAATATAAAAGATGCACAGGCAGAGACTAACCTGACATAACCTGGGGTGCAGCACTGTGTTAAACAGGCCTGATTTTAGTTAGCCTCCCACTGCCAGTTTGTTGTATTCCCATTTTCCTCCAGCTTGTCTGTTAACCTCAATTTTAGTAAAAAAAAAAAAAAATAAAAAAAAATGCTCCCCTACCTAAATGTAGAACCATGCTATTTGGCTGTGTTAGGGTCTTCATCTTATCTGTCATTGTATTTGAAGGGACAAGGGTCACCCAAATTAAGAAGTCTAAATGTAGCTAAACCAGAACGAGTGCAAAGCCATAGTAAGAGCCCCAAAGTATATTCTTGATTCTGTAATTGAGAAAAGAAAAAACAGAAGGCGTCTGGATTTAGGGGGCTTTAGCAGTTATCAATGTGTCTAATGAACTTGGGCCTTAACGGGTGTAAAATGTGTGCAGCCAATATAAACCATACTTGAAGAAATACAGATATGTATTCAAAGTAATAAGGTGTAGTTTTACAACCCCAATTCCAAAAACGTTGGGATGCTGTGTAAAATCTACATATAAACAGAATGCAATGATTTGCAAAACTCGCAAGCCAATATTTTATTCACAATAGAAAAGAAAACATATCAGATGTTTAAACTGGGAAAATGTACCATTTTAAAGTGGTAGTAATGTAAAAAAAAAAAAAAAAAACCTTGCATGGTAAAGGCATAATGTGCTAGTATGCATTGCATTCTAACACATTATGAAAGGCTTACCTGAGAACAAAGCCCTCCAGCGGCACATCACCTTTTGTAGAGGCTTCCATCTTCACTAGGTCTTCCTTCCGGGTTACCAGGCTGGGGGCACTTGAATGGCTGAGCTGTGATGACGTCACTCACGGCTGTGGCCCAGAGCCCTGAAGGAACCCGCAGGTATGCTGTTCCTTCTGAGCGCATGCGCCAGTGACGTCACTGGCTGCTGCTCTCTAGAATATCTCCTAAACTGTGCACGTTTAAAAGAGATTCATTTTTCCTACAGTTAAGCTTTAGTATAAGCTTACCTGTAGGTAAAAATAAAAATTAAGACTTGACTACCACTTTAAGAAAAAAAAAAAATAAGGTCATTTTTTAAATTGGCAGCAACATGACTCAAAAAAGTTGGGACAGTGCCATGTTTACATCTGTTTACATACACATGCCTCTGTTTACATTCACTTACCTCTGACCTGTCCAGGGCTGGAGAAAAAGTTAGAAAAGAGCTCCACCTTTTTCTGTCTTTCCTCTCTAAACATGATAGATCAGAAGTAGTCTGATGTAATCAAACACAAGTTAATTTACATCTGGCCACCCAAAGATCTAACATGTCCAGGAAGCTCATTTTTTTAATGGCGCTAGATACTGTATGGGCACATCTGTCCCTTTTTGCACGGGGAGCTATCCCTGCTGGGTGAACACAGTGATTTTTGCTAGCGGCTATGGCCGCTAGCAATAATCACATGTAAACATCCGACATGTTGGTTGTACCCAAGTTTATCAATGGGTACAGTTGGGCTGCCCATACAGTGGATATAAAAAGTCTACACACCCCTGTTAAAATGTCAGATTTACGTGATGTAAAAATTAGACAAAGATAAATCATTTCAGAACTTTTTCCACCTTTTTAATGTGACCTATAAACTGTATAACTCAATTGAACAACAACTGAAATCGTTTAGGTGGAGGGAAGTAAAAATAAGAAACTAAAATATGGTTGCGTAAGTGTGCACACACTTAAATTAATACTTTGTTGAAGCACCTTTTGATTTTATTCCAGCACTCGGTCATTTTGGGTATGAGTCTATCAGCATGGCACATCTTGACTTGACATTATTTGCCCACTCTTCCTTGCAAAAACACTTAAAATCTGTCAGATTGTGAGGGCATCTCATGTGCACAGTCCTCTTCAGATCACCCCACAGATTTTCAATCAGATTCAGGTCTGGGCCCTGGCTAGGCCATTTCAAAACTTTAATCTTCTTCTGGTGAAGCCATTCCTTTGTTGATTTGGATGTATGCTTTGGGTTGTTGTCATGCTGAAAGATGAATTTCCTCTTCATGTTCAGCTTTCTAGCAGAAGCGTGAAGGTTTTGTGCCAATATTGACTGGTATTTGGAACTGTTCATAATTCCTTCTACCTTGACTAAGGCCCCAGTTCCAGCTGAAGAAAAACAGCCCCAAAGCATGATGCTGCCACCACCATGCTTCACTATGGGTATGGTGTTCTTTTGGTGATGTGCAGTGTCGTTTTTGCGCCAAACATATCTTTTGGAATTATGGCCAAAAAGTTGGCTTCATCAGACCAGAACACATTTTCCCAAATGCTGTTGAGAGACTTCAGATGTGCTTTTGCAAAATTTAGCCGGGCTTGGATGTTTTTCTTTGTAAGAAAAGGCTTCCATCTTGCCATTCTACCCCATAGCCCAAACATATGAAGAATACAAGAGATTGTTGTCACATGTACCACACAGCCAGTACTTGAGTACTTGCCAGATATTCCTGCAGCTCCTTTAATGTATCTGTAGGCCTCTTGGCAGCCTCCCAGGCCAGTTTTCTTCTCGTCTTTTCATCAATTTTGGAGGGATGCCCAGTTCTTGGTTATGTCACTGTTGCACCATATTTTCTCCACTTGATGATGACTGTCTTCACTGTGTCCATGGTATATATAATGCCTTGGAAATTCTTTTTTACCCTTCTCCTGACTGATACCTTTTAACAATGAGACCCCTCTGATGTTTTGGAAGCTCTCTGTGGACCATGGCTTTTGCTGTAGGATGCGACTAAGAAAATGTCAGGAAAGACCTACTAAAACAAAAACTTTATTTGGTGTTAATCAGAGGCACTGTACATGATGGCAGGTGTGTACTGACTCCTATTTAACATGATTTTGAATGTGATTGCTTAATTCTGAACACAGCTACATCCCCACTTATAAGAGGTGTGCACACTTATGCAACAACATTATTTTCGTTTTTTATGTTTACTCCCCCCCCCAAAAAAAAAAAAAAGATTTCAGTTTGTGTTTCAATTGAGTTGTACAGTTTATAGGTCACATTAAAGGTGGCATAAGTTCTGAAATGATTTATCTTTCTCTCATTTTTTTACATACAGAAACCTGACATTTTAACGGGTGTGTAGACTTTTTATATCCACTGCACATGAATCAAATCTCGGCTGGACCCTGCTGAACCAGACAAGATTTGAATCCACTATGGCTGGCTTAACTTACTCTGGTCTTATGAGAAGGGTGGATTTCTTACCTGGCTGCCATAAATACTTTCAATAGTGTCAGTAGGACAAACAGATGCCTAGTATAATAAAATAAATTAGGTGATCGGTAATGGGTATTATGTATTTAGTGGTATGATGAGGACAATGTCAGCAAAGGATTTTTTATCCTTGCACTGTGTGTCTCTGTAAAATGATGTTTGCACCTTCTTGCCATGCATTTTGCTAATGTAAGGTATGCTTTGTTTTCTTACAGCAGTGATGTAGAAATGGAGACTGATCACTACTCCAATGGGTTTGCTGCAGCCTCATCTAATGGATTTCTTAATGGCAGCACAAAGCATGACAGTGAAGTGGAAGAATGTGACACAGAAATGGGTTTGCTGTGATATTCATTGAATTCACCATTAGCTACTTGGGATTTGCCTAATGGGGATTTCCCATTTAACTGGCAATCCAGTATGACATGTGACCTCTCTGTTTAGTAGCAGCTCCAGGCTTACTGGGGTCTGGAATTCTAATTACAGATTTAACATCTCTATTGCAGTGCAGTCATAAAATATTAAGGTGCATCAAGGTATTACCCGAGTAGTTAAGCTAGTCCTAAATATTTAATCACATCTTGATGAAAGGTTCTCCACTGCACATTCAGGCAGCTGCTGCACCCATGGCTGCCTGAATACATTGGATAGCATGCAGTCACTGCACGGCTGATAATTTTCCAACAGGGCCACATCAGGCTTGCATTGTAGACCGTTTCATCAGGAATTGGACAACATTCAAGCTGTGTATGGCCATCTTTAGGGTTTTTTTTTTTTTTTTTTTTTTTTTTTTTTAAATATTTCAGAAAGTGCAGCAGGAATAGAAATACTCCCAAATTGTTAGGGAACACCCAGTATGGCACAAAGCCAGTACTACGGTGGGGAGATTGTATCACTGGGGTTTCCAGGCCTTCCAAGAAGCCAGCAGATGGTTGAGACCATTTATGAATGACCCTTTTAATCAAACCACACTGGCTGTAAGGATCTGTGATATTCTCTGACTGGAATGGGATGGGCATGGAAGGGGTGACATAGGAGAAACCTCTTATCAACTGTTACCTCAGTAACAACATTTTCATTTAGGGGTGCTGCAAATGGCATGACGGTCAGAAAGATGAACAATTGCTGGTTGGTCACAGACTTTCTAGTATATGTTTTAAGATACTAGTATTCAATAACAAGTACTTCTAATGCTGAGAAGTTGATATCACTTCCAGTACTTCACTCATTTTACAAATATTTGGCCAAAGTAAATGCATGGACTGGAAGATATCGATTTATTTTTCTAGAAAACAATTAGCATGTCTTTTTGCATAGCCGTGGGTTTTATTAACCCCTTTTCGCCGATTGCACACAAATATCCAGCCTCTTGCCACGTGCAATTAAAAAGTACATATGTGCTGAGAGCGTGCGCCCTGCGCGCTCCCAGCACATGTGTCCACTACTCCTGGAAAGGTCCCAATCTCCCCTTTCGATCAGGACCTTTTCCGATCATGTGACGACGAATCACGCGGTCACATGACCCTAAACCCTGCACACTTCCAGGCCTCTTTAAAGGGTTGGGAGGTGCTGGCCTCAAGAGGTTAAACAAATATGCAAGGGAAAAATATTTTTAAGGCTGAAAATGAAGGTTAAAATGGAACTCTGGTACACTAGTTATGCTAGATAGGATGATTGTTAATTTATTAGGAAAGGAGTTGATATTAAAAAAAATATTATACTAATAATGGCGGTGATCAGCGACTTATGGCGGCGATCAGTGAATTATGGCGGGACTGCGGCGGACATTCTGACATTGGGGGGTACTGACTTGGGGTCACTGACATCCCCAGTGACACCAATACAGTGATCAGTGCAAAAAAAAAAAAAAAAACACTGACACTGTACTAATGGCACTGGGGAGGAAGGGGTTAAGTTTATTATTCAGGGAAAGGGTTAACTGTGTGAGGGGAGTGTTTTACTAGGGGGCGGGGGTGTGTACTGCAGGGAACACCGCTGATCGGGAGAGAGAAGCTCTTCTGTCTCGATCAGAGTGTCCTTGAGCTGTCAGGGAACTGACAGAAAGCACAGCTACTGCAGCTGTGCTCTCTGTCAGTGATTGCGGCTAATCGCCGGGACATAGCCAGTAACGACCGGCTGTGACCCAGCGACTGACATCCGCGGCTGTGATTGGCGGAACAGGTAGGGCGGCGGCGTGCCTCGCGTGCGCCCCCTACCTGTTTTAAAAACACGTTTTAAAATGTGGTTTTTGCCCAGCCGTGCCGCCCTGCCGCCGTATTTCTACAGTGGCTGGGCGGCATGTGGTTAAGGTACAGCCTCAAGCAATGCACAAAAGAAGCTGAATAGATCCAATATCAACTAATCTGCTCCATTTTGGTGTACCTTTATTCACACTGCCAGTTACGTGTGTAGGAGATGTAGATAGGACAATGCACATTTCACTTTTAAAGCCTGTTTAAACTCTATAGAGCATGTAGTTAAAGCGGTTGTTCAGTCTGGAGAAAAAAATAAAAATAAAAGGCAGCAGCTACAAATACTGTACCTGCTGACTTTTAATAAAAGGACACTTGCCTTTCCAGTGATTCAGCACCGTCCTCACCCTGAATATCTCTTCACTAGGCTGTGGGTTTCCAGTGCCAGCACCTTAACTGTGGGAAGCTGGCTATGCTGCTTTCAGCTTCACAGCCGCCTGCGCATACGCAAGCTGCGCTGTGTGAATGGCCCCGCAATCTTCTGGAACTTGTGACATTTATTATTTATTTCAGGTACTTATACAGTGCCGTCAATTTACACAGCGCTTTACATATATATTGTACATTCACATCCGTCCCTAACCCTCAAGGGGCGTGCAATCTAAGGTCCCTAACTCACATTCATACATACACATACTAGGGACAATTTAGACAGGATCCAATCAACCTACCAGCATGTCTTTGGAGTGTGGGAGGAAACCGGAGTACGCGGAGGAAACCCACGCAGGCACAGGGAGAACATGCAAACTCCAGGCAGGTGGTGCCGTGGCTGGGATTCGAACCAACGACCCTAGTACTGCCGGGCGGAAGTGCTAACCATTTAGCCACTGTGCTGCCCTAGCCCAGAAAACTGCGGGGAGGGATGGGGAGAGGAGGATTGGAAATGGGAGTGGGAACCTGTAAACACCCCCCATCACAAAATGACATGCCAAATATGGGAGAGGATGGGGGGAGGAACACTTAAAGTTGAACTTCACCCAAAAGGGTTTTGCTTTAAGTGTAGCGGGGACAAATATAGTGGCTAAATGGTTAGCACTTCCGCCTGGCAGTACTAGGGTCGTTGGTTCAAATCCCAACCACGGCACCACATGCCTGGAGTTTGCATGTTCTCCCTGTGCCTGCGTGGGTTTCCTCTGGGTACTCTGGTTTCCTCCCACACTCCAAAGACATGCTGGTAGATTAATTGGATCCTGTCTAAAGTGGCTCTAGTATGTATGAGAATAAGTTAGGGACCTTAGATTGTACAACCCTTGAGGGTTAGGGACTGATGTGAATGTACAATATATATGTAAAGCGCTGCGTAAATTGACGGCGCTATAGATGTACCTGAAATAGAATAATAAATAGTGTCACTTTAAGAGCCATGTTTAAAACAGACTTTGCACTTCAAGCATGTTCTCTTTATTCAATGTCCATCCACCCTACTACCTTTTCATAAACAGTGCAGAAAAGTAACAGTGGGGAGAAAAATGTATAATATACTTATCTTTCCTCAATTTCCAGGAGCTGACTTCATCTTCCGGTGTACAAGATCGTTTGAAATGCTGAGTAGCCCAAATCTTACACAAAGACACTGCAGTAGAGTGCAGGATGGTCTTTTCACAAGATTTGGGCTACTCGACATTCTTCATGATCTGACTGGAAGGAAGGTGACATCACCCTCAACAGGAAATTGGGGAAAGGTAAGTATATCAACTTTTTTCCTCGACTGGTTTTTTTTTTTTTTTGCAGTTTTATCTAGACTTTTGTGGGGGGGGTGCACACTTTACCAGCATTCTGTAAAATCTGTGGTCACTCAGCAGTTGTTCACTTTTGCTGATAGAATGAAAGAGTAATCATCCATATCATGGGTAAGTTGTGAAGAAAAGTCACAGTGGGTTTCAGCATGTGAGGCAGATCTCAGCTAGTATATGTATTTTATTCAATGAATAGTAGAAGACTTTAGCCTGCATTAAAACAAGGAAAAGTTAGTGTTGCCTAAAGGGAAATTCTAGTTCTCCCTAAAGTGCATTCTACATAATTTGGGAACCCACAAGGTGGACACTTGACTTTCCATGGGAATATATGGCAAAATATAGTGCAGAAAAATGAAACCGGCTTTGGCTGTCACAGTATGACCAGAGTTTAGGGGACATCTCCATGCTGGGTCACAAACAAAGTGGAGAGATGAACCCCAAGAACTTTCCACTTTAAACTTTCATCTTCTATCTTTCTCTGAAATCTGATCTGAATTCTGATATGGGGAACACCATCAATTGCATGCATTTTAGAATTCTTAGCCTGGTAAACATGCAAATGCCCTATCCTTAGTATTTGGGGAAAATGGTAGGTTTTGGAAAAGATCTTGTTGTCATGTCTTGCTTCATCATTGAGTAGTGTAACTGGCAAACTTCCTTTTGTTGCAGAAGTAGATTCAACTCAGGTCAGACGCCAGCTGTGTGGAGGGAGCCAGGCTGCTGTCGAGAGAATGATCTGTTTTGGAAGAGAGCTACAAGCTATGAGTGAGCAACTAAGACGAGAACGAGGAAAAAATGCCACTAACAAAAACATGTTAAAGGTATGTTGGCTGTTTAAAGCGGAACTACACTGCATCTGAACATCACAAACCAAAAACACTATTTTCATTCATTGTTAACCTCTTCACGCCGGCTGCACACAAATGTGCGGCCTCCCGGCGTCTGGGCCTAGACACCGAGTGGTCGCACATTTGTGTTCTATTAAAAAAGGACATATGTGCCGAGAGCGCGCGCCCTGCGTGCTCCCAGCAAACATGTCTGGTACTCACAGAAAGGTCCTGATCTCCTCTTTCGATTGGGACCTTTTCCAATCATGTGACCGCCGTAATGGTGCGTTACGGCGGTCACATGACCCTAAACCCTGCCCCGCCTCCCGGCTTCTGGAACCCTTAAAGGGCCGGGAGTCGCCAGCGTGAAGGGGTTAATATTCAAAGCAAACTCTCCCATCCATCCATGTCTCCATGCTTTATTTTGCTGAGAAATCACTTTGAAAGACACCCTCCTAGGATTTCTGGCCGTGGCCATCTTGAGTAAGGGCAGATGATTCATGCATCATTTACTTCTTGGAATCTATCTGCGCTTAGCTCAGACATGCATGCAGGAGGGTGTGCTTAGCTGACAAAGCCACTCCTGAAGAATATGTATGGATGTATGACATCATTTGCCTAGGCATGGAAGCCAGAAAGCAACTTAAGAAATGTAAAAAAAAAAAAAAGGTTTAAAACATATAAATATAATATACTTTTGTGTCTATTTACTGATACTAGTAGTACAAGGGTTCAAAGTAGTCAGTGTTGATTTAGAGAGTGAAGTTCCACTTTAAGTTAGGATATCTTGCTATAATTTGACCCTCAAGTATGACAAAGGAGAACTGGAACCAGTCACCCTATTTTTTTCGCATCCCTCAGCCACCCATAAACAAAGGAACCTGCACTGTATTAAGGAATGTAGCAAGTAATTTAAAGTGTTACTAAACCCACAGCAGTAAATTCAGTCTGTATATGCAGTAAAACATGCTTGTTATACTCATTGTGGAACATAAGGGGTTAATCTTCTGCATTGTGTAAAAAGGTTGTTTGATCCTGACTTCTCTAATCCTCCCCTTCTTCAAGTGTCCCCCTTCTTTTCTCCTGATAAGAACTATCATGTGGAGACACTGCACATGCTCGGTTTAGTGTGTGTTACTAGAGGGGGGGTTTTTTTTTTTTGGGGGGGGGGGGGGGGTGGAGTGCATGTGATCAGCATAGGGCCAATCGCACTGTCCAGACGGAGGTCAGGAACCTGCATCCTCCTAGAGCAGAATGCAAATTTCTCCTACAAGCTTTAACATGTGCTCTGCTGGACACTGATAGAAGTCACTGCTCTAACTGCTGAAAAAAATAGGTATTTAGCAGTTTATATTTACCATAATAGTGGCACTTCCATGTTCTGTGTATCATGGGACACCAGATATAGTGAATGCAGGGTCTTGGGTTTGGTAACACTTTTAAGTACACCTGCCATCAGGCAAACACATTGTATGCCTAGGAAGACCTTCTTTGGAAAATCTTCTGCCTCTGGTTTCAAAACTTGACTAGTTTTTTGAAACCAGAGTTTCTGACTAGGAAAAACATTCCATATGAGAATTCAGAGTAAAGTTAGAACTCCAGCTTTGAATACTTGTTCTGGGAAAGTCCAGGGGTCACTTATTGTTTATTTCAGGTGCTTCTATAGCGCCATCAATTTACGCAGCGCTTTACACTTATATTGTACATTCACATCAGTCCCTAACCCTCAAGGGGTGTACAATCTAAGGTCCCTAAGTCACATTCATACACATATTAGGGCCAATTTAGACAGGATCCAATTCACCTACCAGCATGTCTTTAGAGTGTGGGAGGAAATTGGAGCACCTGGAGGAAACCCACGCAGGCACAGGGAGAACATGCAAACTCCATGCAGGTGGTGCCGTGGTTGGGATTCGAACCAACGACCCTAGTACTGCCAGGCAGAAGTGCTAACCATTTAGCCATTGTGCTGCTCCACTTGACAGGCAGCTAGTATTTTCAGGTGAATACCAGGAAATAGTAGACTTTATACTTGTTTCATGACTGTTTTCTGTTGAGCATCAACCTGGGAAGAACCTGTATTTTCCTGGCTTGGGGATTTCTTGGATGCTATAGACTGCTATTTACTCAGTCAAGGGGTAAAGGCACTATTATGAAAGTAGTATTTTGTCCATGAGACTAGGTGCTTCTGACAACAGCTAGGAAGGAGACAGATGCTGCATAATGGCTTGTCTCAGCTCTGAACACTTTTTTCCCCCAGATAAGCAACGGCAAGAGGAATGTATACAGTCTATCCTTCCAATATGTCCATGATATTTTTATTTTGAAGTGTGTGTTCAGTAGTTTTACTCATTATGCTAATGTGTTTATTTTCCAGGATGCATTTAGTTTATTGGCTTATTCAGATCCCTGGAATAGCCCAGTTGGCTACCAGCTTGATCCCATACAGAGAGAGCATGTGTGCTCCTCTCTCAACAGTGCAATATTAGGTAAGAACGGTCATTGTTTTGTGTAACGCCAAATGTACTTTACTTATTCCTGCAGTTTGTACCATTATTTATTATGATGGTTGCATGAAAGCTTAGTTGAATAATTCCAGACCTGCTGTAGATCTGAATTGTCTGGTGATGTGACTTAGTTCAGTGGCTGCTTGCATTACTCCATCTTATTTGTCTGTCTGCATTTCACAGATGCATATATTTTATACACAAGGCCTTGTTTTATACAGATAATCATGTCCTGGCTGCAGTTACTATAGAAACAGTCTGGGAATTCTGCCAAATTCAATGCTACACATTTCACTGTGTATTTGTGTGTGATTTGAGCAGTGAGGGGGTTGTCTGGCTAAACGCACAGGCAGTCATTCTTCTTCCCTTTACAGCAGTTACAATTCTACGAATCTAAAGCATGATATTTCATTTAACATGGATTTTTTTTCCCCAAATTCCTAACATGATTAACTTTATATTCTCTATCACCATTCAGGTGGTAAGAATATGCAGACAATAGAGCCCTTCAAATGTATAATTATTTGTATTAATGGGGAAAAAAAAAACATTTTATGTATTTTATGGACAAAAGCTTGATTATAGAGACTATTGCGCTTCATTACAACTACAAGTTGTTGACAACTTTATATACTTATCAAAGTGATCAATAGATCCAGGAATATAGGCAGCTGAAATAGCATGTGAATGTCAGCTGTTCAGAGTTAAGGCTGATCCTACTTTTGAAAATGCTAGTTTATCTGGCAGTTGTGGCTAACCTCTGGCTTCAGTTTCAAAAAAAGAAAGAACAAATCAAAGTGGAGCCCTAAAAGTGTTGAATAAACAATATCTTAACTAAACGTTCGTGAAACTGGATGTGACAATAATTCCAATACAATAAAAAAATATATTAGGAAAGTGAAATAATGAGTCCCAATTCCATGAAGAATTAAATAATCTCAAAGTGTAAACGTGAATCTTCAATTGCTGGGTGATCAAACGTTATCCGTGTCACCCCACTCCATGCTCAAAAAAGGCTTACCAGACATATTTAACCATCAAGTTGTAGAATGGTCAAAATCAGCTGAAGAATGATCATTAAGCATGTAAGTGTATTTCTCTGGTTTAATAAATCTATTAAAGGATATTATGCTATGGGAAGCTTTTTCATTTCATGCACATTAAACTTTTATGCCTGACAACGCATGCATTGATGGTCAATGCGGAGTGGGCAAACGCCATTTGAACCGCATTTGGAGGCTATGGAGGAAGTTGGAGCGGTTGCTTAATGATCATTCTTGAGCTGATTGTGACCATTCTATATGTGAATGTATATGTAAACAAGCACCAGGTGCTATAAGCTGTTTGACACCTGACTTCAGTGTATGTATGAATTACCCCATAGTGGATGCAGTTACTGAGGTCAGTGAGGACTTGTTTTAAAACTCTTCTTAAGACTTTTATTTATTTAAATGTAATTTATTGTTCATAGTCTGGCCACAACTTCACCTTAGAACAGTATGGTCCGTTCTTTGTCCATTAGTTGTCATTTTTGCCAGGTTATGTGGGGACTAGGAGTTTCTACCATTTAAAAAAAAAACTGGAACACAATGTTAGGCTTGTTTCACATGGGATTCAGCTTGTATAGGAGCAGTGTGAACAGTAAGCTTTTACAGAGCTTTCAGGAAGCTTTGTTGAAACATGTCTGGCATTTTTGCTGGCTGATGGCTAAAAAGAGTGGGAAATTTGAGTGGAGAGTGAAAAAGTTTTACTTTTGACTGTTGGTGATTGCTGGTGCTTGTTGTTTTATTTTCTTCTTTGGGTCTTGCTAAAAAGCTTTTTCTTTTTTAAATAACTTTTTCTGTCACTTTTTAAATAGCATTTTTTTTCTTCCTTTCCTTGTCTTCCTTCAGTCTACTAATTAAGGGGAGGGGTTAATTGGTCACAGGTGATAGAGGTAGTATATAACTTGCTGAAGAGCTCGCTCTGAGCTTGCCTGTATTTTGCTTGCTGGACCTTTGACTAAGTGGACATTTGATAAGTGGAGTTAAAAAAAAAAAAAAACTGAGTTGAAAACAGGAGATTATAACAGGTGTCTACTAACCTGTAAGTGACAACTGATATTTCCTGTTAATATTGTAACTGGGATATGAGTGCTAACGGGGTTGCATATTTTTTATTTTCATACAAATAGTACCAATTCCATTGGTTGTTTGTAACAGCAGTGTAAAAGTGTAAACAGCAAACACATACGTGAAAAATAAAAACGCTCAATTTTAAGAGAGCTAATTTTCCAAGGCTGAGAGTTGTTCTCCAAGACTTGGACTGGGAGGAAATATTGGCATCAATGAACACAACACAGAAATGGGAGTTCTTCAAAAAGACTGTATGTGAACACACTGCAAAATATATTCCCATGGGCAACAAGTTTAAAAGGGTAAAAATCAAACCTATGTGGCTTACGGCCAAAGGTAAAAATGCTATAGATAATAAGAAAAGTGCTTCTAATCAATATAAAAATGAAGGAACACTATCATCGTTTAACATTACAAGGAATATGCAAAAGGCAATAAAGGCCGCAAAAATTGAAAATGAACGACAGATTGCAAAAGATAGCAGGACCAACCCCAAAAAAATTCTTCAAATATATTAATAGTAAAAAGGTTCGGTCCAAGCATGTATGCCCTTTACAAAATAATCTAGAGTGGGTGACTGGGGACAAAGAGAAGGCAAATTTATTTAATACCTTCTTCAGCTCTGTGTATACAAAGGAGCATGGGGGAGCTCTTGTCCATAATGGGCATGGTATTGACACAGCCCAGATGATCCACATTGGCTATCAATTGATATGATCCAGAAATCTTTAGACAGTATAAAGGTGAATAAAGCACCTGGACCGGATGGCATAGACCCACGGGTCCTTAAAGAATTGAGCTCTGTCATTTCAAATCCATTGTTTCAGTATTTAAAAAGGGTCAAAATCTTTACCAAGTAATTACAGACCTGCTAGTTTAACTTCTATAGTTGGGAAGATACTGGAGAGTTTAATAAAAGACCACATAGATGAGTTCTTGCTGGAAAAAAATATTTTAAGGAACAGACAGCATGGATTCATGAAAGACAGAAGTTTTCAAACAAATCTGATTTCTTTTTATGAGGAGGTGAGCAAAACCTTGGACAGAGGGGTAGCGGTGGATGTGGTATACTTGGATTTTGCAAAAGCGTTTGACACAGTTACCCACACACGGCGTATGTTTAAGGTAAAGTCTACAGGCTTGGGAAAATACATATGTAAATGGATCGAAAACTGGCTAAAAGATCGTACTCAGAGAGCAGTGGTTAATGATTCATACTCTGAATGGTCTAGGGCAGTGGTTCTCAACCTTTCTAGCGCCGCGACCCCTTAATACAGTTCCTCATGTTGTGGTGACCCCCAACCATAAAATTATTTTCGTTGCTACTTCATAACTGTAATTTTGCAGTGGGAGGAATAGTGCCACGTCATTGGTGTCATTGGGAGGAATAGTGCCCCATCATTGGTATCATCAGTGGGAGGAATAGTGCCCCGTCATTGGTGTCAGTGGGAGGAATAGTGCCCCGTCATTGGTGTCAGTGGGAGGAATAGTGCCTCGTCATTGGTGTCAGTGGGAGGAATAGTGCCCCGTCATTGGTATCAGTGGGAGGAATAGTGCCCCATCATTGCTGTCAGTGTGAGGAATAGTGTCCCATCATTGGTGTCAGTGGGAGGAATAGTGCCGTATCAGTGGGAGGAATAGTGCCTCGTCATCGGTATCAGTGTGAGGAATAGTGCCCCATCATCGGTGTCAGTGGGAGGAATAGTGCCCCATCATCAGTGTCAGTGGGAGGAATAGTGCCCCATCATCGGTATCAGTGGGAGGAATAGTGCCCCATCATCGGTATCAGTGGGAGGAATAGTGCCCCATCATCGGTGTCGGTGGGAGGAATAGTGCCCCATCATCGGTATCAGTGGGAGGAATAGTGCCCCATCATCGGTGTCAGTGGGAGGAATAGTGCCCCATCATCGGTGTCGGTGGGAGGAATAGTGCCCCATCATCGGTGTCGGTGGGAGGAATAGTGCCCCATCATCGGTATCAGTGGGAGGAATAGTGCCCCATCATTGCTGTCAGTGGGAGGAATAGTGCCCCATCATTGCTGTCAGTGGGAGGAATAGTGCCCCATCATTGGTGTCAGTGGGAGGAGGAATAGTGCCCCATCATTGGTGTCAGTGGGGGGAGGAATAGTGCCCCATCATAGTGGGGGGAATAGTGCCCCATCATTGTGTCAGTGGGGGGAATAGTGCCCCATCATAGGTGTCAGTGGGGGGAATAGTGCCCCATCATTGGTGTCAGTGGGGGGAGGAATAGTGCCCCATCATAGGTGTCAGTGGGGGGAGGAATAGTGCCCCATCCTTGGTGTCAGTGGGGGGAGGAATAGTGCCCCATCCTTGGTGTCAGTGGGGGGAGGAATAGTGCCCCATCCTTGGTGTCAGTGGGGGGAGGAATAGTGCCCCATCCTTGGTGTCAGTGGGGGGAGGAATAGTGCCCCATCCTTGGTGTCAGTGGGGGGAGGAATAGTGCCCCATCCTTGGTGTCAGTGGGGGGAGGAATTGTGCCCCATCGTTGGTGTCAGTGGGGGGGGGAGGAATCGTGCCCCATCCTTGGTGTCATTTGGGGGAGGAATAGTGCCCCATCGTTGGTGTCAGTGGGAGGAATAGTGCCCCATCATTGGTGTCAGTGGGAGGAATAGTGTCCCATCGTTGGTGTCAGTGGGAGGAATAGTGCCCCATCATTGGTATTAGTGACACCAATGATGGGGCACTATTCCCACTGACACCAATGATACTTACCTTGCAGACCCCTGCTCCAGCCTGGGCTCGCTCGCTCCCTCCCTCTCCCATGGTACCGACACTTACCTGTCAGATGTCTTCCTTCTCCGGCCGCTCTCCTCCTCTTCACTCGCTCGATCTTCGCGGTGCCGCTCGGCTCCTCCTCTCCAAGCTCCACCTCCTTGCCGGTGATTGGCCGCCTGTGTGCCTCTCCTGAGCTACAGTGCCGGCGGCCAATCACAGGCGAGGATTGATCTCGAGGTGTGTCCAGATGACAGGGGCGGCATGTCATCTCGCCCACACCTGGAGACGGCGGTGGCGGCGAGGAGCGGTGTCTCGGTTCCTAAGACCATCGGAAATATGTGTTTTCCGATGGTCTTAGGCGACCCCTGTGGAAGCGTCGTTCGACCCCCAAAGGGGTCGCGACCCCCAGGTTGAGAACCGCTGGTCTAGGGTTATCAGTGGTGTACCCCAAGGTTCAGTGTTGGGACCCTTACTTATTAATATATTTATAAACAATATAGGGTCTGAGATTATAAATACCATTCAGTCTTTGCAGATGACACCAAGCTGTGCAGTGGAATAACGTCCTTACAGGATGTCTCCAACTTACAAGTATATATATATGAGATTTTGCGCACCCCTTCCACCCTGTAGCAGTATATCTTCTTTAGGGTGGGGGGAAAATGGTTAAAGACATAGAGAAAGCTGCCTAAAGCTTGCCGTAAATGTTAGAAAAAGCTTGCTGGTTACACTACTCTTATGTATAAGCAGAATCCCACATGAAACTGGCCTTATAGTTAAAACATGGATTTTTTTTCTTAGACATTTTACAGTAAAATCCTGTCGTTACCATTTTTACCACTGAAGTGATTTTTTTTTGTCATAATGGTATTTCTATGTTCCTAACGATATTCTGTGTGTTTAATCCATAGATATACACAACCTGCCAAAGCAGCCACCCCTCTCCTTGGCTCTGGAACAAGCTGCTCAGTGTTTAGAGATGATGGCTCACTCAGGCATAGGTTCCTGTGCATTTGCCAGGGTGGCTGATTACTTACATTAGCTATGCATTAGAAGAAGTCAATGTAAACACAGACTATATATGCAGTATGGGAATACTGTAAGACACATAGACCAGCTCTAGTTACTTGGAACTTTTATTTTGTTTTCAGTTATACCATTTGTAACAAGCACGACTCTACCATTGACTTTAAATAGCTATTTTTTTTATTACTATAATTTCTTTCACTTTTAAGAGGATGTTGCTATGTAATTCTGGTGTGATATACCAGCAATAATTTGATTTGACTATATTAATCTATAATATTCTCTTCCAATACGTGAGGTACAGTGAAGAACAAAAAAAAAATTCAAAGACTCACAGGGTTGTGCTAAAGGACAAGCAAAATGCTTGCAGCTTGGTCCTGTAATTTTTTTTCTTTTCATTTTGTTTGGGTGCGTAACAGACACTTCTGTGCTGCAAAAGGATTAGTGTTTACAATCTGCATCCAGGCTTTTTATTTGCACAGTCCATTCATTGCCTCCAGGTCTTCACTCACCAAACTGTTATGTATCTGTTGTGAGCCTGCACGCACTGTGATTGAGAAACAGAACTGCCAGTGTACCAGTTGTGTATGTTCACTTGGCATGTCTAAAGTGTGGACATCAATCATTTACGCTTCTGGTCTATCTACTAACCTGCAAAGGGCACCATCAGATGTAGGATATCTTGTGTGGATTGCAGAATATCCCCGACTCTTGTTGTAAGACTTGAAATAACCTGTAATTTCTTTTCCTTCTATCTGCATCTTGACTTTGTAGTCCCAGGATGGGTTGCTGTGGCCAGCTTCAGCCTTTGTTCTCGCTATGGGCTGTGTCATTGTTTTTTTCCTGTTGTGTGATAAATTCTTTATTGTAACATGTCAGCACAACGTGTGATGTGAAGACTTCTGCTCGACTCATCCCATAACAGGACTGCTTCTTCTACACTATATTAGAGATTGGTGTGTCTTTAATCATTTATTTATAGAAAAGAACCAAATATTTAGTCTATTTCTAGGTATCTTAATTTCACCTTTGTACACTTTAATTTTTAAGTGCTAAAATATTGAATAAAAATGTAACTGTACTTAAATTAATCTGCCAATAAAAATTTAAAAATTTGGAAACTGATACAAGTCTTAAAGTTATTTGTACCTTAGCTCAGGGGGAACTTTTTGTCCTGATGTTGGAAAAGGGTGGCCTGGAATTGAGGTTTGAATTTCAAGGGGTTAAATCAGATCTGTCATAGGTCTGAGCCTAATGCTAGACTGGCAAAAAAAAAATCTCTTTGCTATGGAGAAATTTCACCACTTGTTCTCATTCACTTAATTTGCAGCACGCTGAAAGCAATATGATTGTGATAAGCGAATGGTTAACAATTGGTGCCCATTCACATTTGGCGGTTTGGGATAATGGGCGTGTCCATGATTCCAAATCAAACTGCAATTGTGGCAAAACGCATCATGCTCGTTTGGATGTCGTTCATAATGGCACCTCAAACACGGTGCGGTTTTGCCACACGAGGTTTTATTGCCCAAAAGAACCTCCTGCTCAATCCCAGCAAAACTGCACCACTTTTAAGGTGCTGCTAACAATGAATGGCACCCAAAAGTGCGTGATGCGTTTTGCCACAATTGCAGCGCAATTTGTAATCACGGCGATTCCTCCCTCAATCCCAAATCACCAAATATGAACAAGGCCTCTGTTTAATCTCCCAGCAGTATAGAGATCCAAGGCTAGGGCTAAACTACATATAAAATCTCTTTACCACAAAAGATTATCTAGGTCTTTGTGTTGACCATTATTTCGTCATATTAATGGAAGCCGCAAATGAGGCGACCATAAACATATGGCTAAGAGATGTAATCGCATGTGTAGTCCTAGCCATCTGCAACTGTTACTTTGCTAAGTACACACGGTTTAGTGAACTGACTGTAACAGTTGTCCTTTTTCCACTTTCATTTGTGTTAAAAAGGGAATTTGTCATGACAGAAATATGGAAAGTGCCATTCTGAAAATGCTGGCACTCTAGCTTCCATATTTTTAGTCACTGACCTGGAAATAGTATGCAAATCAGAAATGTCAGAAGTCCTCATTTGCCTACTTGTCCTGCATCAGTAATATAAACTATTGAAGCCAGAAAATTAGCATGAAAGCTGGGCAAACGTCATTCGGCTATGGCGCAGTCTAGAAGTGGTTCAACATAGAAACAGAATGTAATAAGCAGGTAGCCTTCCCGTGCTCTACTAGAAAGTAATAGGATTTTTGTACAGTCCATTGAGAAACAACTTCATTTTAAGAGGAGAAATGGACATTGGACACATGAAAAACTGGAGGCCAACCCCTAGGGACTATTACCCCTCCAATACACTTTACATTGAGGGAAGGGAGCCTTGGTGGATTCAAGAAAAAGATTTTACAGTCACTACGCAATCCAGTTTTTCTCAATTGTCCATTGAGGGACACTGCTTCAGATTAGGACACCAACAATAGACTTACCAAATTCATGTAGAAATTGTGAAACTAAAAAAAAAGGGAAACCTGCTTTGGATATTCTAGGATAACAAACAAGGAGTCAAACTGTTGTAAGGGAGCTCTGGCATTAGGGTAAACCTTAGCAGCGCCCACAAAGTCCTGGCAATGGAAAGCCATTTCCTTGGGATGGACTGAGGTCAGACACAAAGGGAATAAAACTCTTAATTTAAGTGAAAGGCAGAGACTACCTTGGGTTCAACAGAAAGTCTGTTCACACAAAAAAAAAAGACCTATTTCTTGTAATCAAATGAGGATCTTTGAACAATAAGGCTGCCAATTCTGACACCTCCCAAGCCAAAATGATAGCCACTTTTCTGAAAAGCAAGTTCAAAGGGAGGTCTTCATAACAGCAGCACCAGATTAAATTTCTACAGTTAAAAGGGACTTCTGACAGGATGAGCAATGTGGGTAAATTCCTTGAAGAAGATACACATCAGAAAATAAGTGACAAATGGATTTAAACAAAAGGTTATTAGCAAGGCACATACATTCCACATTAATAATACGCTACCAAAATATGTGTGTGGTGTAAATTGCCTCCAACATTGTTCTTGTTTCTTCTTCCTGGAGGCTGCCATTTTGCTGAAGCCCAGAGCCCTGAGCAGCAGTAGGCTGTCAGCAGATCAGCCTCTACATTTTCAGCACTGTGTCAAAAAATAGAGAGTAACTAAGCATGTGCAGAACAGGGTGAGAGGGGGCCAGCCTGAAGTGATCTAGCAGTACTTAATATTCTGACTAAAGTTCCACTTAAAGAATTGAATGCAGACCCATGACCCTTTACTAAGGGGCAGGCATTGATCAACTTCCAGCAGAAAAAAAAAAAATTACACAATCAGGCTCTTCATGTTCCATAGTAAATCTTTCAGGAAAAATACATGTTCCCTTAGTCTGTATACAGTATGTCAGAGATGCCTCTGTATCTCAAATCCTGGGCTTAACAGCTATGTTAAAGTGAAACCATACTCCCCTTGGCTTCAACGATGCAGCATTCTGGAGCTCCCTGCCCGACTGGTTTCCGGGTCTTAATTGCCGGGTGGGGATGACGTCACTCACCAGGCCTAAAATGGTTTAAATTAAGTCCACTCAATGTTGCAAGGACACAGTCATTAGGCAAAGAATCAAGGTGGAGGACAGGCGAGTCTACCACAGCAGGAAGTTCTCTGCAAAGGAATACAGTGCCAGAAAATGAAAGTGTGTGCAGTTTGAAGCTGGCTGTGAAGCCACAAAGACCCACAGCCGACTTCCCCCTAGACAGAAAAAAAATTAAAAGTCAGTAGATACAGAATTTGTAGCTGTTCACTTTAAATTTTTTCTCTCTAGGGTGAAGATCCTCTTTAATGAAGAAAATCCATGCTTGGCTGAATGGAGACACTTTGGCCTAAATCTACCAACAGCAGGAAATCTTCCAAGTGCTGAACATAGCAAAGCTGACTAGAGAAACATGTCAATTCTCTTTGAAGACACTGAAGTGAAACTAACAGGAAATGTTTGGGAGGAATTCTAGCTCCTGGAAGCTGGACTCCAGTTTTCTCAGGTGTCTGGTGTCCATTTCTCATGTAAGCAGTATTACGACCCTTAATATCTGAAGCTGTGTCCCTTAATGGGCGATGTACAAAAAGCTTCTTTTTTTTTTTTTTTTTTTTTTTAAATCTGTGTTACCTTTGTAGATTTTCCTTCACTTCCTGCCTGGTAAAAAAATAAGACACCTTACTGTCCTGCTGAACACAAATCCCTTTAACCACTTGAGCTCCTGAGGATTTCCCCCCCTTAATGACCAGGCCTCTTTTTGCTACTTGGCGCTGCACTAATTCAACTGATAATTGCGCGGTCATGCAATGCTGCACCCAAACGAAATTTACGTCCTTTTTTTCACACAAATAGAGCTTTCTTTCGGTGTAATTTTATCACCTGTGTGCTTTTTATTTTTCACGCTATAAACAAAAAAAAACGCCAAAAATTTTGAAGAAAAACAATATTTTTTATTTTCAGCTATAAAAAATATATAGTAAACTCAAAGTTGGTTATAAATTTAGGCCAAAATGTATTTTGCTACATGTTTTTGGTAAAAAAAAATCCCAATAAGTGTATATTGATTGCTTTGTGTGGAAGTTATAGTATCTACAAACTATGGTATAAATACTGCAATTTACGCCATTTTTCTGCTATACAGCGCTGTGCTAGTTTAACGGACAATTGCGCGGTCATGCAATATGGTACATAAATGAAATTTACATCCTTTTTTCCCCACAAATTGAGCTTTCTTTCGTGGTATTTGATTGCCTGTGCGGTTTTTTATTTTTTGCGCTATAAAAAAAAAAAGTGACAATTTTGAGGGAAAAAAACCAATATTTTGAACTTTTTGCTATAAAACATGTCCAGTAAAAAAAAAAAATGCAAAAATCAAATTTAGTCATAAATTTCTGCCAAAATGCATTCTGCGAAGTCTTTGCTAAAAAAAAAAAAAACCCAATACGTGTAAATTAATTG